AAGTTTCATTTAATCAATCTTTCCAGATTAACATTGAATATAGACTATACAAAGTTAAAAACTTCATTTTGCATTGTGTTGTCAAAGTTGCTGTTGCTCCAAATGATTGATATATGTACAAAATTGAAAGTGTTTTTTTCCAAAGCTTTAATTCAGTGATGGAGGGTCAAAACCACTAAATGTCTGGAAAGTGATGCTCACAATTTACTTGATGCAGTTTACTTGATCTCAGATGTTTGTAGTAGTAATCCTCTGGCAGATGCAGATTGTGTTGTGTTTGGGCACAAACTGGTTATTTATATGTGTAAAGATTTTAGGTTGATGCAAGCATGGCTCAGTTATACAATAGTTAAAAATTATTTGATGTGATTCTGCTGGGAAGGTGAAGACTTAAAATGACCATCAAATTGTCAAATGAGCTTTAATTTGTTCCTCTACCACTAGGCTGTTGTCAATCTAAACATGATTTGTAAGAGTCTTGGTGGTCTTTCCAAGCTGCACTTCACTCACACATCCTCTAATCTGTTGGCAGTGAAGGTCCTTAAGGACAGAGTAGTTGGTTGTTTCAGGTTTCTCAATTCTCAAAAGCTTATTTACATGTTTTATGTTTTTAGATTTTCTGTGTGGGCATATGCTGTGTCTGTCAGCATTTGTTCTTAAAGAGCAGATAGGATCCTTGAATTGTCTTAAAATCTGGCCTTCAGTACCTACCCTTTCAAATGTTGTTGTGCCACCATTCCCATGAATCCTAGGAAGCACAAGTATAAATACAATCTTCAATGAAAATACAGATCCCAAGTAGTTTAATTGTTATTGTAAGCTCATTGGAGCCTACATTTCTTGGTAGTGTTACTATTTTAAGTTCTGGTAACTCTAACAAAACTTTGTTTATTAGTTCAAGTTAAATCCAGAAAAATTGCTTTGTCTCCTTGCTAGTTTAGATTCAGGGAAGAATGCTCAACTGTTTGTAACTGCATAATATCATAAGCAAAGTTGTCCAGTTTGTTTTAAATTTGCAGAGTAATTGTACTTCTGGTCATCTGCTGACAAGCATGGGGTTTGTATGATTTTTGATTTTTGTGCAAGTATAGAAATAATACTGGGGAATAAAATGTGTTTGCAGTGGAAAACTACTTGCAAGATGTTTCCCTATGTGGAAGGACTACTGCTGCTCTGTGATAATGAGAAAGTTGTAGCTATTTTAAGACTATGATGGAGTATGTTTTTGAATTGTTCATGGCAGTATTACTTTGGGAGGTTGCCAGAAGCTGCTTCTGCAATTTGACAGAAAAAGAAATATTATAAAAGGAAATATTTCATGTTAATTTTAAATGTTTTTGAAAACTTGTTTGTTCTTTTGATATAGAGTCGTCCACTTCTTTAAGGGAGTGTCCTTGTTTGATGGGTACTTTTAAATGAGAACTTAATCTTGTCTGTTGCCTGAAGATCAAAGAAGCATAGAGTAATTCAGCTTGGAAGGCACTTCTGGAGGTTTCTAGTTCAACCCTTTGCTCAAAGCAGGATCAGACCAGTTACTCAAAGCTTTATTCGGTTGTGTCTTAAAAACCCCTGGGGGTGGAGACTCCAGCTGCCCTGGGCCTTGTTTTCACTGTTTCACTGCCTGACTGCCCTTAAGGTGCACAAGTAGGTTGTTTTTTTTTCCTTAAATCATGATGGAATCTAGTTTGTTTTGGTTTCTGTTGTGTCTTGTCCTCTCATCACTCAGTGCTTTGAGGACGTTGTCACTATCTTCTCGGTAATGACCTCAAGGGTACTGGTGGGCAGCTGTGAAGTTCCACTACAGCTGCCTCTTCTTCAAGTTGAATGATTTCCAGCTCCCTCAGCCCCTCATTACAGGGCAGGCACGCCAGGTCTTGGTCCTCTTGGTGACCCTCTGCTGAACTTGCTGCAGTTTATCAATGCCTGGATGGTAGTGGGGTCCAAAAGTGGATGCTGTTCTAAAATGCTGCCTAATGGGTGTTCGGTAATGTGAAGTTCAATTACTTGACCATAGTTTGCTTACAGAAATTAGGGAAATGTGGGTGGTTATTATGGGGTTATTAGTATTTGGGTTTTTAAAGTGTGATTGGATTTCAAAGCAAAATTTAGGTAGCATTACAAGAATTCTTCTACTTATACTGATTAAATAACTTGCATTAATTTTAGTGAAAATGTTCAGATTTTTAAAAAAATCTGACAGATAATACTTTACCTTCAATACATATTTATTCAACTTAATTAGCTCTGAATAAGTCTAATTTGCAATTAAAGTGTTGGAAATGAAACAGATTAGTTGGTTGTAATTCTATAATGAAAACTTCTATAAAAATTGAAGTTAGTGAGTTAATTCTTGCTGTAAAGTATGTTTAAAGAACTCAGTCTCTGGAGAGTTGGGGGAATTCTATACAAAGTAAACTTATATACACAGAAACATGCACACAAAGGCCTGCTGCAAGAGCTGCACAGACATTGGGTTTGTTTGAAGTGGCCTAGTGGGGAGGCAGCATGGAGGGGAGGCAAGCTCTGTCCCGCTGTGTTGTCATTCTATAAAGAGAAATTTTTCTGAGAATCTGAAAGGATCTCTGCTTATTCATTTTAATTTACACTGAGGTTTGAAAAGGTTATAGGCAGTGTTCTCAAGTCAGACGATTATTTCATGTAATGCTCCAGTTCAGCCAACACTTAGTGAATGTGGAGTGAGGAAATAATACAGAAAGCAAAAGAGGAAACAGAAGGCTTTTAGAACACTTCATACTCTTCCCTGTATGAGCAGCGGAAGTATGCTAGGATTGGAGGTAGTATTGAAAGGCATAAGGAATGTCCAAACAAGCCTTTGTTCTCATGAGCCTAGGCAGTGGGTTGGCACTGAGGTGAGGTTCCAGGATCCTGGGTGGGCTCATGTGACTTCTGCTGAAGCTTGTCTTGTCTTTCTGTGGATTCACTGGTGGAGTAGCTGTGGTTGCAAGATCAACAGCTAGCTTGGGTGTGCCTGTACCTGCTGCAGTCAAAATTTCCATTTTGCAGTGCAGATCTATTCAGGGTTGCCACATCTTTTAAAAGTCACCTTTTTAGGGCTTATTTATGCTCACTTGTCTCTCACGGTTGGTGCAGCCTTAATTTAAATTTATGTGAGCTCTAGTTAAAGGCACTTTCTATGCTGACACAGAAAAACTGGGGCTGCTGAGCTTTTGTCTCACCTGATATTTCTCAATTAAAATACGAACAAAACCCACTTCATATGGAAAACATTTTAAAACAAACTTATGAGTAAATGTACCTTTTGCTGTTATATCTGGATTTTAGAAAACTTGGGATACTATAAATTAAGGAGAGTCATCTGAACAAATATTGGATGTTTACAAATTAACATAGCAAGATAGAAAAAGTTCAATTATCTTAAGTTTTATAGTATGTAAGACGTTGCAAGGAAGCAAAAACTGAAAATATCTTCTCTTAATCTTCAGAATTTTATAGTCAAATCTTTAGTGTCCAGTGTTGCAATAGTTCTTCTGTGGAGGATAGTTTGAAAGAACAGTGATTTAATGTTGATTGCTAATAGTTTTTCATTTAAATTGTTGACACTGCACTAACACTAGGTCAGGACCCCTCTGTTGCAGTGTTTGGAGAAAGCTGAGACTACCAGACACCTAGAAAGGAAGTAACACCTCCATGTGACAGGGTCACACAGGCTCAGCGGCATTTAAAAGCCTTTTTCTTCATTTTTTAATTTAATGTGGGTTCCTTTTTTTTCTTTGTGGAGGAGTGTGTTTTTTATACTGATAAGCTCTATCACTGAATATTGCAGTTCTAAACAGTGTCAGGTTTCCTATGTTTTCTTTATAAGATATGGGAGACTTGGGCACTGTAAGGAGGTAACAAACCTGTGGAACTTCAGGTTGTGTTGTTCCACCGTCTTGCACAGACATATTCCTGTATTGTTATAGTAACTTCAAAGCATTTTGGATTTTGCGGTTTAATCTGTTGCTGTCACTTGTGTAGGACTGTCGCAGTGTCACTGTGAGCCCACTGCAGGAGCATGGGCTGGTTTGTCATGGTGTAGAGATCTGTGCAAACTTCTTCAGTGTTGAGAGGGGAGAGAAGGTGCTTATTTAAGGCTGCAAGGTTTCATTTATGGAATATAAATAAATATTGTGTGGTCTGTGATCACCTTCCCCCCCAAACAAACAAACAAAAACTCTTGATTCAAGATTGCTGTGTGATGTCACATCGGCTTGACAAAGGGTGTGTGACTAGTGAAAGGGAAGTATGATTTGGTACGAAGTTACTGTTTGAAGTTTGTGCGTTTTCCCAGGGTTTGTTCTAGAGGTCCCTTGTGCAATGTCAGGAATGATTAAGAAGATGAATCCTGTATCATGCAATTCTGTCTTTAATCAATAGTATTTAAAAAAAAAAAAAAATCCTTTTTATTTAAACATACCAAACTATTCAGATGGCTGGATACTCCCCCTTCTGGTGTGCTAACTGAAGTTTCAGTTCAGGAAATGGGGGATTGTTTTTAAATGTAGAAGTACTGTGGAACTCCTGTTTTTTTCCTTCTTTCTTTTTGTTTCTTTTTTGAACTTGAAACACTTAAGTATATGGACATGCTTGTGATTTCAAGACCTGTGCAATAATTTTATAGTTTGTTCCTGTTTTCCTAAATGAAAAGTCCTAATACAAATGTTCCAAGTAGATTGCATTTCATAATGTGTATCCTGTCGCTTAAAACAAGCACGCTAAATGTCTGTTGACTGAACTAATAATAGTGTTCAAACAGCTGAATTCCAAAATACAGCTTGAGTCAGAATATTCCTTGTAATAAGACCCAATCCCAGAGCTAGTAATGAATTTCATGTTAGATTTGGATGCTTTTAAATAGCAGCCTTCAATTACAAGGCATTGTGTAATTTTGAAAATTAATAGGAACTTACAAAACATTCTTGGAAGCTCTTGACGTCTATCTGTGGACCTCTAAAGTTTAAAATCTCTCCTTTAAATAGTAGGTAGTCTAGGAGGAAGTTTGAATCTCCAATTTCTACTTTCTCATCAGATATCAGGTATGGCTTCATCATCAACACCTAAATATAATTCAAACTCCTTGGAGAATTCCTCAAGTAAAAGGGTGAGTGTAACTTTTTTTGTGGTTTTTTTTTTTTTTTACATCAGAGATTCCAGAGTTCATAATCTTCCATATTTGGGTAGAAAAATCAGTATTTGAATTACTTTTTTCTTTATATACTTATTTTTATTGCTAAAATTCTGATGCAGTTAACTGAGCTGATTTAAATATTTTTCAGAGTGGATGAGTGGAATATTCTCTGTATCACAAGTCATGAGAGTCTTCTCAAGATCAATTCTAATATACTTACTCTTCTCCTTGCTTTCTACATTGAAATACTCTGTGGCATTCTTGAAAATTTTTGGCACTTGGCTGTAGAAAGATTCTGTACTGCAGTTGATAAATTATACCTAGTTATGTTTCACTGGCTCAGTTAAAATGTTCGTCGTTAGTGGGAAAGACATTAAAGCAATCTAAATGGCATTCTCCTCTGCTTTTTGATGCTGTGTGGCTGAAGAAAAAAATGTAACCTGTGTGCAAGAAAACTAACTAAGGTTTTATTTGGCTTTTTAAACATTTTTCCAAAAACAATGATTATTTTCTATTAATCATTCTTGAAAACTACTGAAAGTGGGAAAGTCACAAATGAGTAGGTTGTGTGTAATAGTTATAAGTTGCTTAAGTGATTCTGGCTAATTTGTGCTTCCAGGCACAGCATACTTGGAAAATTAAATGCACAAAACTTTCAGAGAACTTACAGTATAGAAATTTAATTCCAATTTAATGCAAATATAGTTAACTAGTCTTTTAGAATGAGAGTAAAACATGCTTATGTTTCAGATCTGTTCAACCTTTTTAATAGCTGCAGTTTTGGATGGTGGTGTGTATTCCTGTTTTGGTTCAGCATGTCAATTTCTACAATGGAAAAAGCTGTTCTTTCCCATGCAGAAATTACCTATAAGGTTTACTTTTTTTTTTTTTTAAATCTGGAACTTGAAGAAATTGTAAATAAAATAGAACATGCTGTTGTACTTCTCTTTCTTTAGACTCTAAAAGATGGAACTAACTGGGAACAAAATGAAGAAATACCTCGTCTGCCAGGAGAGACTAGAGTTACAGGTATGAAGCTATATAACTGCCTAATGAAATGTATGCTTAGGAGTCTGGCATATACATGTATTTTACTGGATTGTTTCATAATTTGGATTGGTTTGGGCCAAGGGCTGGTGTAAGTCATGCTAAAATTTCATTAATTTTTTTAGGTAATTGCAATAGGGACTTTTTATCACTTACCACAAGTAACTTCGGTCATTAAAATCTTGGTTTTCACACATGGCAGGTGCTCTGATACAAAGAAATTGCAAGTCAAGATGTGTCATATTGTATCTACAGACTAAGTAACACATGTCTAGTGATGAGAGCTCCTCCAAGCTTTCCAAAGTCAAGATAATTTTACATGTCATCCACTATGTATTGATTTCTTGTTGGTAGTGTGGAACCATAGCCCACATTGTGACTACCCTAAGTATAATCTTATGCTTCCTTGGCACAACATGGTATGCATGTAGCTATTATGCACTTATTACCCTTTACATACATTAATGTTGTAGCATAAGGAAGATTAATATATTGTGTACAGTGGTTTCTTGCTTGATGGAGGCTTTTCCTGGAATAGAGCCTTCTACACACAGAAGTTTGTGTTGAGGTATCAGAGTGCAACTGAAAGTGGTCTGTCTTTTATTTGTGAAGCTTCTCCTTCCCCCCTGCCCCAGGATTTGTTAGGTGGGTTTGTAAACAAGATCTGCTGAGGTGAAATTGAAGTGGTGATTCAGAGGAAGTAGTTATGTTTTTAATGAGGAAAGTTGTGGGGAAGGCATGAGGGAGAGGGTGTGATGAACGTTTGATATGATCCTTATGAAAATTGTCTGTGCTTTGAGGCAGGACACTGGAAGGAGGGTGCTTGTTGTGGAAGGCAAATAAGTAGACTGGGCTAAAGAAATGAGTGGACAGGGAGAAATACGTGGTTTGTAGTGCTTTACTTCAATCTTTAATGGCATTACTTCAGTTAAATCTTTCTTTTTTGAATGTGAGTGTTAGCATTCATTTTGTTACTGTCTTTGCTGAAACATTGCTGATGGCCCTGCTGTATTTGATTACCTCAAATTGAAATGTAATGTTTCACTTCAGGATGGTGAGTTCCCTAAACACTTTACAACTTCAACTGTGTAATTCAGTGCAGAATCGGTTACAGAGAGCTGAAAGATGTAATAGTATCAAGCACAAGAATGTATTTGTTCTGGGGTAGTGAATAGACTAGTTCAGTATTCACAGAGAGGACTTAAATCTACTCGCTGTTCTATGTCCTGCCCTCTCCTATGTAGTGCCAAGAAGGAGAACACCACGAATGTGAATAGGGAAGGCTACTGAAATCTGCTGATTTAATATGGGCGAGTTTAAGTATGTGAATCTTTCACATTTTCTTAATAATTCAAGTGGGCAGAATTCAGATTTATTACTTCGTAAATTCATTCGTCTTTCGAAGTGGCTCCTATGAGTGCAGCTCACTTTGTTTTACTGCTACTTAACTGATGCTCTCCTCAGCTCTGATTTTTTTCTTTTTGCGATCTTTAAGAAGTGCTGCATTTCTTACAGACAAGGATGTTATATATATGTGTCCATTTAATGGCCCTGTTAAAGGAAGAGTGTACATCACAAACTACAGACTGTACCTAAGAAGTGTGGAAAATGTGAGTAATATGCCACAATTTACTTCTGTGGGATGAGTTGGCTTTAAACCCCCTTCCCTTCACCCCCACTGCCTTTGATTTAGTTTGTGGCCAGTTCATTTGTTTTAGTTTTGGCACATGTATACTTGTGGAAATGCATGGGAGGCTTTTTACTTGAAATGGTCTGTAATGTTTATAATAACCATACCTTACTTGTGTAATGACTAAATAGTAATTGCCTTTGTGCCACTGAGAAATCTATATAAAATTGGAAGTTCTTTAAAGTTAAATGTGTTGTAAAAGTGTGGATTTTGCCTGGTAGAATTACAGTTTAATCAGTTACAGTGAACTGGTACCTTTATCTTTTGTCTGTTGGAGCTTTTTTGATAGCTGTTCCATTTACACTTATTCCATGATGGATCAAGGGTGGCAACTAATGATGTGCAATAGTTCTTAAAATGGCTATCAGTAAACAAAGATTTTGATTGTCCTTGCTGTTGGAAAAGAAAAACACTTTGATAATAGAACCTCACGTAGGAGGGAAGAGTAGTAGTGTGTTTGATAAGCAGCAACATGAAAGAGAATAAAATGCACTTGTTATGATTGGTTTTATTTTTTTAAATAAGGTTTTAGGACTGTTGAACTGAGATCATTCTCATTGCAGCTAACTCAACTAGTAATGTCTTTTTCATTTTGTTCTACTTTATTCTGTGTAGCTATAAAGCAGTCTTAGCAAGCAGAGACACTCAGAAGTATGTAGCAGAAAGCATCTTTTAGGGGGTTGCCACCTGTTTTTCTTTGCATACTGTTAGGCATGAAGTATTTTTGCTGCATGTTAAATTGGATGATGATCAAGGCTGTAGAGTGACTGTACAGACTTCGTAACATGTTGGGAGGGGAGATTCAATCAAATGCAGAAACGCACTTTTGCTTCCTGTATTTCATGTTTCCTTTCTACTCTAGAATGCATAAGAGCATTTTGCTTGAGTCTTCTTTTCAGATTAAACTTTTACTTAATCAAACTTTCCTTGCAGGATCCAGTTGTGGTATTGAATGTTCCGCTGGGTGTAATTTCAAGGATTGAAAAAATGGGAGGAGCTTCAAGCAGAGGAGAGAACTCTTATGGATTAGATATAACCTGTAAAGTAAGACTTTCCGGTAATTCAGTAGAAAATGAAATCTAGAGGTTCCTTTTCTCACTGCTTATCTATTTATAGGAATGAAAAAAGACATGTTCCTCAAGGCTGAATTTAAGATGACCTTTTTGGAACTGGACAGGGAAATACCTTTTGTGTAAAGGGCTGTTTAACTGTCCTCTGCATGCGAGAAGAGGAATTGGTCTTCCTTTCCAAATTACTAATCGACAAGAGGTTTTGCACAGTCATCTTGTCTTAGGGCATTATTCTCTGCATTGCTTCATTATTTCATTTGTACTAAAAGTAATTTTTAGTAAATCTTTGAAGAACACCTCAAACGGGGCTTTTGTAAGCTGCAGGAGCAATGAGAAGCTTATGTAACAGCTATCTCTGTTTCTTTAGTCTCACAGAAAAAACATGTTTCCATGAAAAAATATGGTCATAGGGGAGTTCCCAGTGGATAATTCAGGATCCTTTATTTGTCTCATTAATGGAGTATGTATACACATTTGATTCTTAGTAGTTAATGAGCAGATTGCTTACTTTTGACATTAGTGATGAGAAAATAGCTAGAGACAATGTAGTCTAGACAGATTGTTGGCAATTTTCATTTTGAAAACATAGAGTAGCTCTCATCCTGCAAACATTCAATAGCCCATGAGACTTTTTAGTGAATCAGTGAATCAGATACCGTCATATCTGATGGCTTTATGCCAAAGCAGTGTTTGCACCACACAATGTGGTACTGCTTTATTTGTAGAATTGTTATGCTCTATTCTATTTTATGGGATAAGAAATAAAACTGAACATTCACAATGGTTTGAGGTGTGTTGCAAGCAGATTCTAAATCATATTTAGTGTATATATAACACTTGTACATAAGATGAAAGTATCTTACTGCTTTGGTTCACTCAAAAGATAATGCTTTTGTTTTAGGATATGAGAAATTTAAGGTTTGCATTAAAACAAGAAGGACACAGTAGAAGAGATATATTCGAAGTCCTCACAAAATACGCTTTTCCCCAGTCACATAACTTGGTAAGTTACATTGTTTACACTATTGAGTTGTCTTAATGCAGAGTTCTTTCCAGTTAACTTTAACTGTTTTGCCTACTAATGGACATCATGGCTGCTTAAAAAGAATAGCCACAGAATCTGGTGTCAGCATAAAGAGAGTTAATGTTTTTATTTTGTACATTTACAACACTTACATCTACGTATTTGTAAAATTATGGATGCTATATGCTGTACTTCAGGTAAGCTACTGAGCACCTCTGATCGGTACAGATTTCATTGCTTAAAGACTGCAAATTATCCTCCCTAATGAGGAAATATAGTAGTACATGCCTTGATTTCTTGAAAATGTTAAACTATTGGGCAGTCTCCAAGGCAATGATAAATATGAATCGCCAAGAGTTTTAATTCAGGAGAAGACGACATGGTAAGACAACACTTGTTTTATTGATGACACTGATGAAAAATAGGCAGCAGTAATGAATTTACATGGATTTACTTAGGATAAAAAAAAAGGTCTTATGGAAGGAACTGAGCGACAGTGATGTTAACTAACCATTGTCTTCTGTTTCTTCACTGAAATCTGTGTACTGTGCTTGGTGGATCACTTTGACATCTCTTTACTAAATGCGTTATTTTGTCTTATAAAATTCAGTTTACATTTTATCAGGGTGCTTTCATTTAGGATAATTGTATAAGAGCTCTCTTCCCAAAATGTTGGAGGGTTGTGCTATGAATTAAGAACTTTGTTCAGACAATTGTTGTGTATATGAGGCTGCAGCAAGAATCTTTTTTCCTCCTCCAAAAGCACATGTCAATCAATAGTTTATACTATATAAACATTTAATCTTTAAAACTTTTTTGCAGGAATTTTGCATTCGGTATGCAGTTTGTGGAAAGAAAGCATAAGGAAAAAAAAAAAAGCTTTTTTTAAAATGTCAGATTTTTATCTGACATTTTTTCTGTAATGAGACCATAACCTTAGAGATGATCCGAAACAAGAACTTTTAGAGTTGCCTTGCTTCTGTTTTCTTCATGCTATACCATTCTTGGACACATGGATGGTAAATACAGCCCCAGATATGATTTCTGAGGGAAGCGCACTTACTCTTTTCAAGATTTTTCTCCATCATCATCCCAACAGCAGTGTTTGAGAGCCTGTAATAAATCACAGGTCTCTTCACAACTGTTCATCAGTGTCTCAGTGTTGTCCTATGTGCCTACTTCCAGAAGCTAATTCTTGTCTCTCTCCAATTTGAGCATAGATGGGGTTCAGATCTCCTTGAATCAATAACATAATGTAAAAGCTGATAGCTTATCTGACTGACAGCTTAGTTGATATAGAACAAACAACTGCTATCCATAATCCTCTGTTGCATTTGCAAATGTGCTAACTGAAATAAAGTTGTTGCTGAAAGTTTTGTTTGCTGAAAAAAAAAAAACCAAAACAAACAACAAAAAATACCAAAAAACACCACCACCACCACCCCCCCCCCCCCAATTAAATGTTTGTAGTACCCCACAAAAGATGAGATAATTTAGTCTCTGTTTAGTTTCTGCATAGCAGCTGCTTCACTTCCTGTTTTTATCTTGAAACTACACGTCATCATTTGTATAAGATTATTCGCCACCATAATACCTGTATGATACATACTTACTTCTAACCTAGATAGCTCTGTGGGAATGTCAGTTTTGATGAGAGACACTGCTAGTCATGCTGTCTAACCTCTTCTACTCCTGATGTAGCTAGTTATCCTGGTAATTTTTAATGTCTGAGAGTCAGATGATACCAGTGTTGCTGTTGGATTTACAAAGATGATTTTAGATGTCAGTGAGGCCTGGCATAGTTGCCTATCTGATGGAGGACTTGATTTTGCAGAAAACATCTTGATTTGAGGCTTCGTTCTAAATGACTTATGTCGGTCTCAGTGCAATAACGGTGTAAGGTTACCATATTTGCAAATGATCAGAAGTTAATTACGTAAATACTACAATGTCTGATCTTAGTTTTTAGAGGAACAGGTAAAATGTAACTGGTTGAGTTGAGTAATAACATATTAAAGGCAAAGATAATGGTATATTTTTAAACATAATAAGAATCTGACAGTCTTCACTGAGTAAAAACTTATTGATTTATAATACATGAAAAGCATAAACCAGTAAGTAAGAAATGGAAAACCCAACTTCCTTTCTTTGCATGTGTGTAACACCTTCTTGTTCTAGTTTTGCTGCTTTCTTCTTTTGTAATGCATAAAGATTAGTCAAATACTTAATAAATTGTATATATGCTATATGCTCATGTACAAGTAGAACATGTATTTATGTACTGTGATTCCATAAATAGAGTAAATATATAACTATTTGTAAATAGACTGCTTGCCAAACTGTATTGTCAGATTGCAGCTGCTCTCTCCTTTATCTCACAGAATTACATTGTGTTGTGAGCAACCAGTGTATCACATATTATTTTTGTGTGCAAAACAGTAATGATAAATTGAATGTTGAAGGCAAGCACTTAGCCTGTAGGAGGACTGGAAAAGAGACTGTTGAAATTGCAGGTTAGCACCTACAAGAAAGTAAACAGAATTATTTGCATAGTGAGGCATAAAAAGTAGCTTACCAAAAATACTATAAGATTTGAAAGCCTTTTGTAAAGTGAAGTAGTAGCCTTCTGCTTCAAGTCAAGCAGTAGTCTACTGCTTTTAGACTATGGATGTGCAATGAAATCCCTGCTTCTGTTCTATGCCAAGAGACTTTAATTTGATTTTGCAAAAATCTTAACGGGTATATTCTAAGTCTTACTTATTTTTACCAAATAAAGTTCAAGCCATCTTCACAGAGTATTTCAAGACTTGAAATAGAAGGTCTGAAGTGAAAGACTGTTGAGGATGGTGGGGGCAGGGTTCAGAGCTTTAATCCTTTTTGTACAATGAGTAAGACTTCCAGTAGTATCCGGATTAACTGCACTGTCTGTACACAATGTGCACACATAAATGTATGTATATAAATTTTTGTTATAGTTTAATCAACTCTTGCAGAAGAAAAGTAATTTTTGGTTTTCAGGTTTTTAGATGCTGTTCATTTTCAAATACTGTTCTTGTTGGAGTATACTTCAGGAGTTTTCTCCTAATTGCTCATATAAAAATCTAAGTCTATACTTTGCTCCATATGTCTTTGCATTTTTTTTTTTCTCCTGAGCAATATAGCAAGAATTTGCATTACCTGCAATGTTAACAGAACTAATGAAGCTTATTTGTCAACTTTAATAGTTGTGGGTTTTGCAACTGAAAGCTTTTGTAGCAGATATGGTAAAGCTGCTGTAGCTAAGTGTTTTAAATGAAACATGCTGCACATAGTAGGATGTTGTTCTTTCAGAAAGGATTCTGTCTATCCCCTACTCATGCACAGTAAATCTAACTCTGGATTTTAAAAGGTGAAAAAAAATACACTTTTCGATCTGATTTCTTGTAGATTATTTTGTGGGTGACATGAGCAGCATAGCTGCTGTTTCTTTATTTCTAGTTCGGAGCAGCACCTTTATTTTTATCAATAAAATCTTCTATGTGACAGCTATCACAGTGCACTTTAATAAACTCATGTATTTTACTGATCAGGGTTTAAGCTGGGTAATTTCAAAGTTCTCACCAGGAATCTTGAAGTAAGTAGCAATTTAAGTAACATATTCCTGCCTTTGAGATATCTTTTAAATGATCTGAGAAGATTCCAGTGTTTCTGTTTCCTACAGTTATAACATTCTCCTTTGTCTCTAGTTCCTTGGTGAATTCTTAGCATAGTTGCTCTTTGGGATATAACAAATTCCTTTGGGGAGGAGGGGATGATTCTTGTGTGTAGCTATTTATTAGCAGTTCAGCAAACTAGTTGCATCTACTGCTTTAGATAGTAATATTGCTGTTTTGCTGTATTCCTAGTTTGCAATTAAGACAACCTTTTTCAGTTTTTGTTTAACTTCTGATACTTGCATCTAATTCTAGTGGAATGTTTTTCTTCTGATACAGTTGATATCTACCTCTTCCCTTTTTCTTCATCTCTCCCTCGATCCCACTTGATAGTAGTTTACTTAGTCAAAAGAATCCATAGTTTACTTACACTGAAGGCCCACCCCTTTAAAAATGGTGAAGACATTCAGAAAGCACAACTTGAGAATGCATTGTTTATTTATGGAAACTTGCCAATGAATGTACTTGCTCTAAAATACTGATTTAATTTAAAATTCCAGTTTGTGAAACTAGTGGGATAAAGTATCTTGTGTGAGCAGTAGCGTCCTTTTAAAATTCTGAATTGAAATACATGAAGAAAAAGCCCCTCCTTTTGGAGGGATCCAGTTTCATTTTTTTATTAGAGCTGTTTACTGTTTAAATCACTGTAACGTATTAGGCTAAACAGAATTGCCTTGAGCTGTTAGGTTTTGCCTTCATAACATCTAAAGAAACCTCTGTCTGGGCCTATGGTGCACTTAGGAAGCATTTTCTTGCCTCTGTAGACAACATGGCACCATAGAACCACGATTTCTTTCTCTTGCTTGCCAGATTTTCTGCATTTCTGCTTAGTTCAGGTCTATGCCTGTGAAAATGATGTAGATTTGGGATGTTCAGTTTAGCATTCAATTTCTTCTTCTAATGTCTTTGAATAGCTAGGAGACTTTCAGCTTTTTTGTTACAAGAGCTGTGGTGGGCTCTTGAATGCTTTCTGCTCTGACTGCTGTTGCTCAAGTCAGCTTAGGACAACACATTCTCTTATGCATTTTCTTTTTTTTTGAAACAACTTAGTTTCATCCTCCTTTTGGCACCTGAAGAATTTATAAGCCACCAAAATCAATTTTCTCAGTGAAGGAGATCCTTAAAATAAGCATTACTTTTGCTTTCATCATAAACTGTAAAAACAAACCAAGGAAAAAAGAGGTTAGTTATGTAATACAGCCCACTTGGAATTTGTGGAAAGGAGAAGAAAGCTAAAAGGTATGAGGAAGTTGTCAGAATCTTGGGTGAGGATGCTGTGTTGTATGAATGAGTCATGAAAGTGAGCAACAAAAGGAGAGCAGTAGATAGTGTAACCTGCTAACAACATACTTTGTTTCATTTTCAGTAACAACTTTTTAATTTTCATGGAGTTCTACAGTAAACTGGTTATCTGTTAGCAAGGATCAATTGGGGAAGGAATGAAGAAAGAAGGCTGCTTCCTAGTGAAAATGAATATCACTTAAAGCCCTTTTACACTTCCAATTTAGCATCTAATACTTTATGTAGTAATTGAAGCTGTACCTATTGAGAAATTTTGGTGAGAAGACAGTAGTTTATTTGATGAGGATGTGAAATATGGGAAATAAACTGACAAACGATTTTAAAATATTTCAACTTCCTGATAGTAAAAAAATCGAACAGTTTGACTTGTAATTTTTATTATTTTGTCACTTCTTGTTTTAACAATTGTCACACTTTCATTATTTCATTAGCAGATCTGTATTGTTTGTTACTACTTGCTCTTTGCTTTACAGTCTTACAAATATCAGATTTAAATGGAGAGAATGGGGCTGGCATAGAAAAGTCAGTCCTATTTTGTTGGCGGGCATTAGGGTATAACTGATGAGCCCTCATATTTGCCATTTTCAGTCAGAATTTGGTGTGATAAGCTTCTTTTATATCCTACAGCTTTTTTTTGCATTTGCAAATGAAGAAAAATTTTCTGAAAATGGATGGATGGTGTACAATCCAATGTCTGAATACAGGAGACAAGTGAGTTATTAACGTTACAGTTGCCTGGCGCTTTCATATCTGACAACTTTACATAGAGGAATTATTGTTTGTACATTTACCAGCTCTTTTTGTGGGGGGAGTAAGAATGGGAGAAGATGGAAAGAAAACTTGGAAAAAAAGTAAAGAAAAGAAATAAAACACTGGAACATTTTAAAAAAATTAGAATGTCACAGGAAGGTAGTCTTTGCTCTTTCAAGGAAGTTATTGATTAACTCTTACAATGTGCCACTGTTAAGTGAGCAGGGGGCAAGGAGAATGTGCCAAATATGTAACTGCAGTGTCCTAAATATAGATTTGATTTGGTCTTTGATTTGTTATACTTCTTCCTCAAGTGAAGGGGAAAAAAAAAAAAGGCATCTTATTTTAGAAACAGCATTGCTTTACAGAAGTTATTTATATGTCTATCAGTAGTCTACCTTGCTCTTTAGGTGATTTTAGAAAAATGTCAGTGAAAGAGGGTGACAGATTTAATTTTAAAATGTCTTTTAGACAATTTATTTTTGCTTTAAATATGACTTGTTTTGTTTTGTTTTTTTAAATTAAATAGTAAGCAATAAGGACTTCCTTAGGTATTTTTTTTTTCATCTGTAGTTTTTTGGTTCAAAGTTTAGAGGCCTAAGACACAAAGAAGGTAAAATACAAACACCCACGCAGACCCTGCTGTGCGTGTATGGAGGGCTTATCAGTCTTTCTCAACTTCCTAGCTGCTGTTTCTCAAATGCCTTACTGAGCAGACAACAACTAAAAGTTGTTGTTTCTCAGTAAGAAAGCTACCCTGAATCTTATTTTTAACCTGAAGGTAGTATCCAGGCTACAGGGAAGAAAGGTTATCATGAGACTTCTTCCCTCTGTCTTCTCATGACCATAGTCTCTTTTCAGGAGGTAAAATGAAAGGCAGAGCTTTAAGAGAGGAGAGAAGGCAATTTTCTTACCTCAATCCCACAATTAAATACATCTACTAGTTTTATTAATTGTTTTGAAACTTGTTGTAAGAATAGAATTGTGTACATAAGAGTATGTGAGATAACTATGCAGTTGTTTGAGGCTACGAATCCTTTAGCAATGAGCTGGTTTGTGTGGTCTCATAATCTTCTATTGTTTTGAAACAGTACTGTAGTTATGTTAAATTGGTAGGTTGTTGCCACCATGTGGCCATGATGTCATGTAAAATTCAAGAGCAGAATTATTTATACGGCAAAGGTACATTAAAAAATCTTTGTGTTACATTCTAGGGACTGCCTAATGAACGGTGGAGAGTGACTTTTATTAATGAACATTATGGACTGTGTGACACATATCCATCGCTCTTAGTAGTGCCATATAATGCAACAGATGATGATCTCAAGAAAGTTGCTGCCTTCAGGTCCCGAAATAGAATCCCAGTGAGTATTATGTGATGAAAGTTACTTTATAGTGTAGCTAGTTTTAAATATGCATCCAGACAACTTTTTGCTGAGCACGACACAGAGGATGCTTTTTTTTTTGGAAATGCTTACAGCAAAATAGCTTTGATTGGCTGGCATTTTTCACTGCTTGAAACATCTTGGCCAAGCCACACTTCCATTTTTTTCCCCACAAAACCCATCCATTCCAACTTTGTTGGTTTTAACTTGACTTTTGTAGCAACAACTGCCAGCATTGCAGATTTCATTTTCTTAATGAAGTATGAGCCTAGACTGCATCTGTACTACTTGGACTACTGTTGGATGCACATAAAAAGTGATAGCAAATATTATCCTCCCATAAACAAACTGCATGACATTTAAACATAGCTCCATTGGTCAGTCCTAAAATAGGACCTCATGCACAGTCTCTGTAGTGAATTCCTGGGCTTTTTAGTCCTTTAAATTGGGCTGTGGAATTTAAGATAAACTCTTTTGACTTTTGGGGTATATTTCTGTAAATAAAATTCTTTGAGGTAAGAAAACTTTTATGTATCAGCTCTTGACAGCACTATAGAAAATATTAATTTCTATCACAATACAATCTGTTTAATATACAATTTGGTAAACTCAGAAGAGATGCCAGATTCTTAGTATCAGAAAGCTGCCTTGAATTTCCGTTAATTTCAAACATGAGAAACATGAGTATGATAAATATTTTAGATGTGGTATTTACTGACAGGCTAGGCCTAGCCCTATAATTATAAATTTACTATATATATACAATATATATATAAATTATACAATATGTATAAAATATACATGTGAAATATACAGTGTGTGCATATAGTTCTTACAACCTAGCTGTATCTTCTCCGTCATGTCAGAATTCACGACAGGGCTTTTGTATGCCTGTACAGTGAGAGTCATTTCCTTGGTAATAGTAATTTTGTTCTTGTCAGGAAATAACCAGTCATACTCACCTGCACACACACTGACAGATCTTGTTTCTAGATATACAACTAAAGGTTCTATTTCAGGAGTGAATACTTTCTGAGGATTTTTTTTTTTTTAATTCTGATGTTCTTTCATTCTGTAACCCACAACTTTCAGACTGAGTGAAAATACTGTTTCTTAATATTCTTCGTGATGAAGTTAGAGTTTTTTGCCTGCTTCTTGGGATGCTTATCTTTAATCTCTTGCACTGCAGTCTGTTCCCTGGGCAGCTCACTAGCTCTTGTTTGTGGCAAGTCCCCTCTGGCTCAGAACGATAGAGGAAGCATGCACTTTGCTCCAGTGCCTCCTCTTTGTAAGGAGGGTTGAGGTACAAAATGTACTTTAAAGAGAAGGGGAAATGTTTGAGATACTGCAGAAAGGTTGAACTTTCCTTCCTTATCCAAAAAAAGGGGAAAAGTTGTTCTGTAGAATTGGAGCATCTAAGTCACTGTTTCTACAATGAGTTCATTCTTCTGAATTGTTTCTTAGTTTCAGCAGGCATTGCTATGCTTGTTTCCAGTTTGCTTTTCAGAATTATTTGTGCAACCTAAGACTTGTAGGAAAATTTTTAAATATGGGTAAGTTTCATTTCAGTAAGAGTTAAATAAGTAAGAGAATTAACTATTTTTATTATTATTATTGTTGTTGTTATTGTTGTTGTTGTTATTATTTGTTATGAGACTAAAGTGGAAGCAGTTGAGATGTCTGGGGATTATCTCTTGAAGAAATAAAAATTGTTAATTTTCATATTACTTTAAAGAATGTAATTTTAAAATGTAAGTTATGATTTTTTTAATAGAATTTTTTTTCTTCTAATATGTTTTGACATGTGACTAGGTTCTGTCATGGATTCATCCAGAGACTCAAGCTGTTATTATGCGCTGCAGTCAACCCCTTGTTGGAATGAGTGGCAAACGGAATAAAGATGATGAAAGATATCTTGATATCATCAGGGAGGCTAATGGGCAAATCACAAAACTGACCATCTACGATGCTAGGCCCAATGTCAATGCAGTTGCAAACAAGGTAAACAGATGCTTAGTAGTCTTATTTGTGAAGGGGAGCGGGCAGGAAACTTAGTTTAAAGTTTTTTGTGAGGAGGTTTCTGGGAACAGTAGTAATCCTAATGTAGATAAATTTACATAATCAAATACATATTTACATAATCAAATACTGAGACTCAAGGCCATGAAAGGACATGAATGCCTAAAGTAGGTCATAAGCAGGGTTTCAGGGCCATATGTGGATTTCCAGACACATTTTACCTTGTCTGTTATCAGTCAAGCACAGATCTTAGCAAGGGACTGATATCAGATGTGACTACACTCTGCTCTGTGAGGTAGAGTGCTTGTAGGCTGAGCTGTAGAACATGTCCTCTGTTGGAATGACATGCTATTTCTGTGCAAGCCGCAGCTCAGCTTCGTATCCTCTGGGAAAGGCTGTGTGCATAAAACCAAGCCCACTGATAGGCGTCCTTTGTTCCTAACCATTACATGAACCATTTCAGATGTACCCAGACATCCAGCAAATAAAGAGAAAGTGATGAATAAGTTAACTTGGGGGTTGGCACTCTAAGCAGCAGTATGGGTATAATCTTGGATACCTAGATACTTATTTTTCCATAGGTGCCTGTAGTTGGTAAATGCAGTAACGGAAGTAGTGTTTCCATCTGATGAAGTGACCATTTCTTCACTAATCTGAGATCAAAGCCTAAATGCATTTAGAATCATAGAACAGCCCAGGTTGGAAGGGACCTAGAAAGATCATCTGGCCCACCCTTCCAAGAAGAAAAGATGTCCCTGGGCCTCGATTTCCCTTCTGTCTCCCCTCAACTCTGGTGAGGACTGGATTGTTCAGTAACACTCAGAAAATGCCAGTCACAGTGTCAGTGTTGTATTTGGCATAGAGCACAGCAGACATGGATGTGCTCCATGTTTATATGAAAAGCCTATCTAAGGAGAGGTGGTGAAGGACACAAGTTTAATGCTTTCTTCGTATGAGAATGTACTAACTTCGCTCCCTCTGCCTAGGATAGTCCCTTACCTGCTGAACTTCAAGCACAAATGAAGTGGCCATGCTCTTCAGTACTTCCTAGTGAAGCTGTGTGTCTGTACAGCAAAGAGCATGAGAGATGAGCTCGAGGGTTTGAGATCTTAGTGAAACGACGAGTGTGCTTATCTGGGAGAGAAGGAATTCTAGCTTCTGAATAGTTTTTTGGCACAAAATGAACACTAATTTAGTGGAATGTGTATTCTTCAATGTTTGTGCTGAAAGGAATATGAAATAGTAAAACTTATTGGCCTCTAGGAGCTTTATATGTAACAAATGTGAGGTTGCTTCAGAATTCAAGAGGGACTATAATATTAGTGTTTTGCTCTCTGCAACTTAAATTCATGCATCTGTACCTTTATAGTCCTCTTCTCTATTATACAGAGCATAATTTATTAAGCAAGAAATAAGACTTTTTTCTATAGCACACATTCTTTCAGAGACTCTATCCTAGGGGCTGTTCTGCTACATTTTAATCTGATGGTTTGTACTTTGAGGGTCTGCCTCAATTGCTTGCATTTTACTCTACAAACTGCATTATCCTCTACACACTGAATTTTTATGGGTGAATAAAATGTGGAACAAATGTCAATTCTTACATTAACTTAAATTTTTTCCCCAGTTCTTGAACACACTCAAATTTTACCCCATTGGTTTCAAAGATGTATTATGGCCAAATTGTATACACGTGTACTTACAGATGTATGAAGCACAGTTTTCAGCTTTTTAAAGTGGTCTATGTATTTCACCCATGTGTTTTAATTAACTCCTGATATATCTAAATATGAAATACTCAAATCATAGCAGTAAAAGCAGTAGGGTGCATTTCTGGGTCCAAGGGACAATACAGAGTGGAAGCCAGTGTTCATCAGCACTGAAAAAAGTTTTCTTGAACAGCTGTGAAGATTAGTATAAGCAAAATCTTGGGCTACACTACTCAGGCATTCCGGTGTTTTTGTACATAGGTCAAGACCACACAGTCAGTAGGAGTTGCAGCAGCCCTGATGCTAAAATTACAATCATTCCTCATCAGGACTTCATAATACTCAAATGAAAGAGAAAAATACAATCATTACTTTTTAGTGCACAGCCTGGCAGCTCTGAGAATACCCCCCACATCTGAGGAAGAAGACAGCATACTGTGCTACTATATAGAAATGGAGGTAGTACTAATGGGGAAAGGCTATATCATACTTTAGGTTGTTGTCTGATGTGTAGTTGGTGGCTGTAATGGCTTATAAAGGCAGAATTTATTTATCACAATTCATGGCATGGCATGTTTTTGCTGTCTGCAGGAAATGCTGTGATTTTGCAGCTATCTTTGGAAAACCTCCTCAGTGGTACAGTGTCCAAAAGTATGTGTGGTTTTTCCACTTCCTTTTGTGACCAGGCACATCCTCTGCTGTGGTGGTGATTAAATTACACCACAAGGAGAATAGACTTCCTACTTATGGGGCTCTTTAATTTCTTAACGATCTAAAAACATGTTTAGTCTTCAGCAATAAAATTTAGTGTTAGAAAAGTTACTTTAAAGTAAACTTTGTTATTACTAATTTACTTCTTAGAGGCAGAATCTTAAGAAATCTAAGATTCTTGAATGAAACATAGCTTATTCTTAGCTGAACTCTTAAGTTTAATTTTACTGGTCCAAACATTTTATCATTTTTATCTATGTCAGTATCAGTTCAATTTTAGTAGTAAATAACTAGGCAGTTTAAACACAGGAAGGATTATTTTTTTTTTTACTTGCTCTCTTGAGTTAGTGTTATAAAGAAACAGACAAATCCTTTTGACTGAATTTTTTTCTAATTGATACAGAAACAAGGAAATGAGCGATTTTATTCCCTGGAAGTGGTGATCTAGTATGTTAGGAGTAATTGCTGTTTTGTGTGATGTACATTATGTTTTAATTTAGCCTTAATAGTTTGCCTGGGAAGTAAGTTGATTTCTTTTGTATTCAGAATCATGAGTTTGTTTAATCCTTGGTGGGAAAAGTGAACATAAATGGAGAAAGTAATATCGACATTGTAATGTCAGTCGGTCAATGAAAAGTTGTTTCCACCATGAATCTCAAAAGTAATGAGGAAGGTACAAATGTCTTTTTATTCTCAAAGCAGTCTGAGTCCTGACTGTGATGTGATGCTGGCCCACTGTCATTTACCTAGCTAGTTCAATCCTCTTCGAAGGTCTCCAGGCCCAACAGTACAACCAACCATTTAGTGTTAATCTAAAATAATTAATTTTCCCTTGAGGTTTTGAAAGGAACTAAGCTCACTGGAGCAACTTGAATGTCTTTCTGGCCACGTGCTGTGCTTAATACACTTTGTCCTTCTAGACAAAGGAAAGCCCCCAAGTATTCTTCTCTAGCATTTGCCCCTCCAAAGCTTGTATCTGAGACTGATGCTTTAAACAAACAACTGAATGTATTGCTCAACTACAAAATGAAGTATAAATAAAATTTAGTCCCTTCTTGCTCTGTTGAAAAGCTGCTACAATAGTGTATATATGACTAAAGCTAATTTTAGATCTCTTGTTTATAGGCGACTGGGGGAGGATATGAAGGTGAAGATGCATATCCCAATGCCGAACTTTTCTTCTTGGACATTCATAATATTCATGTCATGCGGGAATCTTTGAAGAAATTGAAGGACATTGTTTATCCTAATGTGGAAGAATCACACTGGTTGTCGAGTCTGGAATCAACCCACTGGTTGGAACATATAAAGGTAACTTTTTGCTGTTTGTTAGAAATAACTTTTGTCCAAATCTGTTGTATCAGACTTGGTTTCTTTGCTAAACTTTGAGATAGTCCTGATATGAAACGCATCAAACTACTTGAACTACAAAAACAGCATCACTGAGTGTTGGCTTTTTGCCAGCTCGTCTTAGAGTGTTATGAGATATCATTACTAAGCAACAGGAAATTCAACTTTTATTGTCTGCCTCAAGTCAAATGTCAGTCTTTAACAGAGGAATGCATTGTTAGTCTGATTGTCTTTACATGTGTGAGAACTGATTTATTTTGATTTCTAGAAGAACAGATCTATGGGTAACTGTCATTGTATAGGATTAGTAGTTACTTTAGTTGTCAGTATGTATATGACTTTTTTTGTGAATTATGGTTTTGTAAACAAATCTTGTAATTTTCATCTTCTAGCACAAATAAAATACTTAAACTGGTAATTTACCAGTGTTCTTACTAATCGACCTTTGAACCTTTTGTCTCAAGCACAACTGTGCAAAAGTATTTAGAGTTATTATGTAATGAATCTTAATAAAATTTTAATTTTAAGTTAATATTTTGAAAATAAGCATATTGAAAGGGTACAAGTTCCTTTTTTCTAACAGCAGGGATATTTCAGTAATTTAGTTCAAAGAAAGGAGCCAAATGCAATACAGAATTTTTAGAGAATATATCCTATGGTAAATCCTCTCTTTCTTTGAAAAAGAAGCTTACGTTCTTTGGTTTATCAAGATTACTGTTTTCTGCCCTATTTTTTCAGAATTTGCTGTGAGATGAATTAGATCTTACTAAGGGATTAGGGAACCAATCTGTTTCTCTATTTTTATACAATAAATTTACCTGATCTCCTAGAAAATTATTTTCCAATTAACTACACCCTGCTCTTTAGTGGAAACAGTATCAATTTAGTGGAAACAGTATCAATTTAGTGGAAACAGTATCAATTTAGATACTGTGCAGATACAAAGAAATCGATTTATTTTTGTTAGAATGATAACACTGATCTGTGTTTGGTGTCTGTTCCTCTGTTAGCTTGTCTTGACAGGAGCTATTCAAGTGGCAGACAAGGTATCCTCGGGAAGGAGCTCAGTGGTGGTTCACTGCAGTGATGGCTGGGATCGGACAGCACAGCTGACATCGCTGGCCATGTTGATGCTAGACAGCTACTACAGAACAATTGAAGGCTTTGAAGTTCTGGTGCAAAAAGAGTGGATAAGCTTTGGACACAAGTTTGCATCGGTAAGAATTAGAAGATCATTGCAAGGACCATGAAATATTAGCATCCTGAAAAACTTTAATGTTAAGCTACTCATCATGTCAAAATTTGATAATTCTTTCCGTTATTTTTGAATTCTGGTTTAAAACTCTACCAGGTAAATCTGAGCAGAGCTTTTGATTTTGGACCGCTTTATTTAATATTTTTTTGCTATTCTTTCTCTGAGAACTCATATTTTGTCTTTTATACCCTACTCATGTATAATGCAAAGTCAAGGGTGTTTGTATTGGGAAACTTTTCAGAGTCTTAGTGGAACTCCTCTTAAATTTGGCAGCTAACCATTTAACCAGGAAATATATATGAGGAACCTGGAGAAGCAGAATAGGTTGCCAGAGTGAGTATGCTGGGATATGTAAGCATAAAATATAAGTTGGGAGCTTTACAGCAGTCTTACTTGTAGATGCTGAACCTTGAAATTCACAGTAAGAAGTTCCCACACCTTCAGCAGAAGTTATTTGCACAGACTGTTTGTCCCTAGTGGGATGTTCTAAAGATATTACTTAATATTGGTAAAATTTGGGAAATAGGCAATCTGGAAAAAATACCTGTCTGTGTATTTCGTGCCCATTTCACATTTGCAAGGGTATTTCAGACTTTTGGAAATTCGTGTTTAGCTACTCAGCATGAATCACTTCACCATTTAAGTGTGCTTGTAGGCTGCAGCAGTCTTTGATCTGACATTCTAAAGGTGCTTTGAGGCTTAGGAGATTTGCATTTTGATTTTGGGAGTGATATCTGCTGTAGTCCAGTCTTTTGTGTACTTACCTGTAGTCTTCTAACAGTGATATGATATAAACCTTTGAAGTATTCTGTCTTGGTACAGCCACAGTAAAACACTGGCTTGCCTTTTTATTCTTGTATTTTATTTTGTATTTATAAAAAATATTATAGTCATGGTGCAGATAAAATCAGATTGTATAACTAGGAGATGTGTAGCCTAGCACATATGTTATGGTTTAACACAAAGTTTAAAAAGAGTTCTGTATGTCCTTCACCATTATGAATAAATTTGACCAATCTATGATTCTTTTTATTAAATCATTAATTTTAGTAATCAAATGAGTTTGTTCTCTCTCAACAGACAGTGTTTTTCTCCTCTTAGTGAGGTAGGACTTACAGCCCTTCCAGATGACTAGCTCAGTCTACTGGTTCATTTCTGACAATGTAGCAGCAATAAGGGTGATTTAAATAGCTTGCTTTTGCTTAAACTACTATTTTATTTTCCCTTCTTGCTCACCCAAGTTAGCAATCTTTGAAAATGGTTGAAGCCACTCTCCTTTAGCCATCTGCTCTTTTCTGAGTACCATATATTTTGATTTGAAGGGTTGTTTAGCTTATAATGAAGTTAGTCCTTTTCTAGAGTGTTCTGCAGAAGTGTTTGAGTCACTATCCCAGGAGGTATTTAAAAGATGTGTAGATGTGGTGCTTAGGGACATGGTTTAGTGGTGGACTTGGCATTGCTAGGTTACTTTTTTCAACCTAAATGATTCTATGATAAAAATTGATAATGCAAGCAGAAAATATTTTGATTGTATATATTCTGGTTTAGTTTAGTAATTATGTGATAGAACTGAGAATTTTAAGATTGAGGAATAAGCACTTCAGTGCAGTTAGCATTTCCTGAACCTCATCTCTGAAACTACTGTTGTTATACCTTCCCTCAAGTGAGGAGTTTGAGTAGGGTGTTTGCTTATACTGTCTGGATTAGAGCAAACTTCATGTTTTCATGTTACCAGGGCTGCAATTTGGATGTTTTAATAAGAAATCACTAAATAGTAGATTACTTATTAGTTCCTCTCTGTATTTTTCTAATGAAGCGCACAATAAGTTTCCTGTTGAAAAGGAATTCCCTACGCCAGCTTTTCTATGTTAGTGAACTTAGTACACTCTCCAGATGATAAAACTGCTTGCTATGTGGAATGTTGTTTTAATAATGCATTCTAATATAAGAAATATGAGACATAGATGTAATTATAGTTGGAAAATACTTGGACATCCTAAAACTGTTAACCATAGTGAAAGTGGAAGGACTTTCACTCCTTACTGAACACATGTGTGACTCTTAACAGATACCATGTGTTGTAAACCATGAAAAATGGAGATTGAGGAAGCCAATTTGTTTGTCTTATAGTGCTTTTCTAGTCATTTGCTACTGTTGACTGAGTTCAACTACAATCCCTCATCTTCAATTCTATTATTTTAAAATATCTTGCAAATCATTGTAGAGAGTAGTGTACTAGTTTTATCATTTTTCACATCCTTAAGACATTAAGCCTGCTATCTTATAGGCAGACAGACAACATTTTAGTTCAACATACATGCTTTTCTTTTGTCTCCTCCAGGCAAGTATATTGAAGCAGAATTATGGAGTCAATAGAATCTCTTTTTGTTGAATCTCTTATCTATTCTCAGCTATCAAATGTGAAAAGGAAGGAAACAGCTTTTACCAAACCTCCTTTTGTTTGTGGGGAGAATTCCTTTGATTGTTACTTTGGACTCCTCAGACTAAATGGCTCACCCGAACTTTAAAAATGTACGTTAATTTTCTGTCAAGAACATGAATGTTTCTGTGAGCTCGCTCATGTTTACCTCAGAGTGAATCTTTAGGTTCAAGTGTGGAGGGGAAAGAGGACAATCTATGTGGATAGTTTAATCTAGGTTCTCCAGTGGCTTAAATTACAAAAGATGACAAAGTATATAACTTGGCTTTTGACAAACTTGTTACATAAATATAGTTCAAAATGTCTTGATTATTTGCAAAGTAGTGGATGCCTTAACAGCTCTGCTTGTCCAATTACTAGCAGGTTTTTATAATAGGACCAATTATCACTTTGGAATTTTTCTCGGACATCTTTGGAACAACTTTGCAGTATTTCTGTATATCTGAATCTCTCCTTCTTGGTGCAATAACTAATACTAATAGCTATTACAGAAGCATTAATATTCTAATGCAAAATAAGAAACAATGTCTACTGGCCATAAAATAGACTTTCAGTTAACAGGAGGCTGTATTGCTTCATTTCAGAGAATAGGCCATGGTGATAAAAATCATGCTGATGCAGACAGATCACCCATCTTTCTCCAGTTTATTGATTGTGTGTGGCAGATGTCTAAACAGGTATGTTACATCATTCTTCAGAAAGTAACATTGTTAAGAGATTACTGAAGTAAAAACCTAGATCTTTAAATAAACAAAAAAGTGTTTGAAGAGGACAGCATACCCCTCTGTTCTGACACGGTAGTCAAAAAGGAGTGTGGTGACTTTTAAACCATACCATCTCTCTACCTTATTTCTAAAAGTGGTAAACGAGCTGTAGTTATGTTGCTTAACATGGCATTGGCTATACATGTAAGGCTGGTATGTCTTGGATATGGACTTCTCAGAAAGATACTGAGATGTAAAACCATTCTGCTGGATCACAGGAATTGCATCCAACTACCTTTTTATAGGGTCTGTTTCATTTCACCATTTTTGTGAAGCTGTCCCTTGAACTACAGGGACAAATGTTTTGTCAAAGCTTGAAAAGGAAGCTTGCGAGCTGTTGAATGCTGTGATTTAAATGTTGTATTTTCAATAAGTAATGAAAAAAAAACAGCAAACTTAGTCCATTTAAGGGCAAGGCTTAGCAGCTAAATCCTTATTTTCCTGTGCTGCACTATATATAGTATGGGTATCTTGTTCTGTCTTGCTAGTAAAAATGTAACTGTAACCATTCTGTGTTTTATTCTTCATTTTAGAGAGTAAAGGCAGTTAAAACGTTTTGAGAAGAGTGCCTTTCAGTGATTAGGTTGAGAAAGTTGAACACCTCATGTCATCTGAACACTTACTCTGCTATGAAGTACATGAAAGTATTATCTTAACTTTGTAGATGTATCAGGCTTCTAAATACCACCTTTAGCCTCTTAACCAGGGCATGTGCATCTTTCCTTTGTTTTACAATGTAAAGAATTAATTTATCTTTTCTGCTTTTAGTTTCCTACGGCCTTTGAATTCAATGAGCAGTTCTTGATTACCATTCTGGATCACTTGTACAGCTGCCGGTTTGGTACTTTCTTGTATAACAGTGAGTCTCTAAGAGAAAAAGAGGTTAGTCAAACTACGGCTTGTTTAATTGTACTGCTGTCTTGACTTTAAATGATTACAAAAAGTTTTGGTTGTATTGTATTTGGTTATATTCCTTGCATGACAGTAGTTTTGAACTGGCTTTATTCTTGTTACAGAACAGTTGCATGGTATATTCCTTGGTTTTGGTAGCTTGAAGACTATGCAGTCACCAAAATAATTGTCAAGGACTGGGTTTGGACTATTTCTAATACAGTAACTTATACTTCTAAGTAAATTAGAAGTGTATTAATTTTAGAATGTAATTATGGCTTCTGTGATGGATTTCATGATTTTGTGAAAATATTTACTGTTCTTATTTCAATTTCATTTTAGAAAGTGACCGAGAAAACATTATCATTATGGTCTTTGATAAACAGTGAAAAATCTAAATACACCAATCCTTTTTATACTAAAGAACTAAATCGAGTACTCTATCCGGTGGCCAGTATGCGTCATTTAGAGCTCTGGGTTAATTACTACATCAGGTGGAACCCAAGAATTCGGCAACAAGTAAGTAAATTCTCTATAGTATACAAAATGCTTTTAGATTTAAGAAATAGGATTTTGTGTCATAACTGACTTGTAGAATAGTACCTATAATCCATTCAGGTTTTTAATGTTACATTTGTAAAGACGGAGAAAAAAATGTGAAAACGATTCAGTTCTTTTTTTTTCTTTTTTTTTTTTTTTTTTGACTCACTCAGCTCTCCTTGGAACACTGGGCTTATTCCAATGCTTAGTATCAAGTCATCCTCAAGCTCTTTCTAACCCCTTTTGCAGACAGGACTGAGGGAACATTTTTAAGGGCATTTGATGCTACTAAAGAGTGAACGACAACGCTTAGAAATAGGGCTTACTGATCCCTGAAGAGTTAGGGTGTTAGCATCACAAACATGCTTAGTTGCATTTGCTTAAGTCTTTCTTCTTTTTCTGAGAGAGTGTATGAAGTCTTACAAATTAAGATGACCTATGTGGTCCTTTATCTTTCGAAACTGCTATCCGTGTTGATTGCTTATGGTAAAATTTTATTTTTTATGTAACTTTGGCCCAACATTGTTTACAGTTTGTAACTGTTGGATGAAAGCTGCTACTGAAAATTATACACCCAGATCAGATTGGAAGCCCAGAAAAGCTTTTATCAAATTACACATAGTTCAGTTCTGTGCTTTTAATGTTTAATACATGGACGCTCGGTGTTTGTTACAGTCTTGCTAGAAATCTCAGCAATGTGGCATGTAAAGTTAGTGTACAGAGACTTATTTGTCCTTATTAACAAGTTGTGGAGTTTTAAGTAGAAGATAGAGGAGCAATCTTTGACAGAGGTAGTCTTCACAATCCAGACCCAGGAATGAATCAGGAGTTTTCAAGCAATGCACTTCCTTTTCCACAGTTGTATTTACTTTATTTATCCTGTATTATTTACAATGCTTTAGAGGCTGCAAGAAAGCCAGACAGTTTGCTATATTTTCTTACAAGTGTGTTGTCAGTTTTAATTTGAAGTTCTAGTTTTAAAGCTTTTGTTGCTTCTGTGAAAGATGAGGGCATTTTGCAAAAGGTGGATCCAAAGATTTATTTTAGGAAGTGAAGGATTATAGGCCATGCAAATTAGCTGTAAATCTACTTTAAAATGTGCTTTGCCATTATTCAGGAAAGGTTTTGGGCAGTAGTTTCTTATTAGAAATGCAAACCCATGTGATAATCTTCTATGCTGCTACTACTGGTCCCTCATTTTTCACCATTTTTCTATACAAAATGCAACTTTATTTTTCTTTGCTGCACATAAAAGTTATACTTCATCTTGACTTAAGCAACTGAATAGGGGACATGTGGCCTGAACCAGTTTTTTGATGACCTTTCTTAGTGCCATAACTTAGAAGCATGTTCTGCATCAGAGTTCAGTCTAGTGAAGAGTCTGATCTGTTACTAGCAAATTCATTAACCCTACATCTCTAATCATCTTAGTGACTACGTTCAGTCATTGATCCAATTTGCATGGTTGCATCAACATTCATCGCCATCCTCATCTGGGATGTATAATGAGTAGTGCATGTAATAGTGCTGGCTCAGCTGTTTTTGAACTCGTGAGGCATTTACATTTGCTCCTGAAACTGTACTGCTAGTAGCTTTTAATTACAGGCAGTTAACTGTAAAAAAGCAGCAACTTCTTGACAGGTGTATACAGCTGAAGGTAACTTTAGGCTCTGTACCTGTCTTGAACACTTGTAATACTTCTTTTCTGTTTGTTTCATCACTCTATCTGAAAAAGGACGCTAAGTTAAAATGGAAACAGTTAAGATTCTCTTTCTGTGAGTAATCTCCTGACAGCTAGGGCAGTTGATTTTAAATAAATTCAAGTTTGCTTACAGAATTCACTAATAAAGTCTTGCATTTATTTCACTTGTTTATTTACACAGAGTTTCAAATTTACTATGAAAAAGTGAAGTAATCAGTAAGGGAAGTTATTTAATCTGAAGACATGGATTTCATCTTAATCTGATCAGCGTAGCTAAAATAGTCTGGCTAAACACTGTTTTTAGGGAAGATGATGAGACATCTGACCTCTGGAATCTAACTACCTTCTAATAAGTCAAGAGGAGAAAAACTTTGGACAAGGTCTTCACACTTATCTTCCACTCAATATTAGATAATGAGAAAATAAAATTCATGTGCTCCAATAAGTGCTGGTTGATTTTATTGAGGCAGGAAGAACTGTTTTGTGTAAGGATTTTCTTTAGATGAGAACTGGAAAGCAGAGGGCTCTTGCATTATAGAAATTAATATTTCTGTTTAGCTACAACTTGTTAGGTATGTCAGAAACTACAAATACTGAGTAATGCCAGGAAAACATAAATACTACAGCAGCCTAACTCTGTAGAAGTAGTTGAACTGAAGTAATAAGACTAATATAGATCTCTTTCTAGCAGCCAAATCCAGTGGAGCAGCGTTACATGGAGCTCCTTGCATTACGTGATGATTATATAAGGAGACTTGAAGAACTACAGATCACAAATAATTCTAAGATACCCAATTCATCAGCCTCATCATCATCTCCCTCACAAATGATGTCCCAAGTACAAACACACTTTTAAAGCAAATGTTGGCTTTGTTCTATACTGTAATGGCAAGTGGTGCTTAACATAGATCTATAGCATAAAGAGGAATATATAAATGCCTTACATTTGACTGTTCTAACACAAATTATTTTAGACTGTCTTCATTTGAGGACTCCAAACAAAACCAACTCTTCAATTACGTGCCTTTCAGAACCTGTGGACTGGGAGCATTATTAATCAAGTAATAGTTATGGAGGGCTTTGAGAGGTATTTTGGAAAGTCTGGTACAATTGAAATGAAATTGATTTATTGTTTGCATAGGAATTTTTTTAATTTATTACATTGTATGTCATGTTCCTGTAAGGAAATTCATGCTCAGTCTTACATGTCATGCATAAGCACATTAATGGCAATAGGAATATTCACATTGTGTAAAATTAGGTATATGTGTATTCCTGTTAGGAATATGCTTGTGGAGTTCATGAGATTTAAAAATAAATTCTATTGTAAGATTTCAGAGAGAAGTGTTGAAATTTTCTGGTTACCTGAGAATTCCAAACTTTTCTTTTTTGAAATAAAAAAAATATGGAAGAGATTTCACTGATGCTCTGATGATATTTGAAGAAGTTCAAATAGCTCAGTAGATATCAAAATAAAATAAAAACCTATAGTTTATTATAAATTGATACTAACTTTTTTTTTAAACAAATGACAATTGTACTAGATTCTACGAAGTCCTGTTTTGGCTAACTGTTCAGCACTAAAGTATTTACAAATTATCACTGTTGGCAAAATTGGTTCTTTGGATTAATACAGAATAAAATGGTTCTGAAGATTTATATAATTAAAAACAGACCCACAGAGACATTGTTTTAAATATCCAGCAATAGCCGTAGCCATAGTATTGAAGCTTGTGTTTTTCTTCTAAATGTAAATGTGCCTGTTTAAAGGAGCTTTTATACCAAAGTAGGCAAAAATTTTCAGTTATAAATACTGTTAAAAATTTGTACATTAATAGCTTACTGTTTAATTTAACTTTTGTTCAATGAATTTATTCTTCTGTATTTAAGGGACTTCAGTATACAAGATTTGCATCTAGTGTGTGCACTTATATTGAACCTTGCAGTGAATTCTAGCTTCAATCCTTCATTTCAGAGATTTCTTGTAAACCTTTAATTTGTTCCTTTCAGATACTTTTTAAATAGTTGCAAGCATTTCATATGACAGCACAAACCTTGCTACTTGATATTTAATTAAAATTTTGCATCTTTTCCGAAGTTTAATGATATTCAGGCAATCCAGAAAATATTGCAATTCAGAATCTGTAGAGGACTCTAATATTGTTATTTTGATGCTTGAGGCTTCTTGTCATTGTAAATTATTGTACATGTGGGAGGTTTTGATCTGCAAGATATAATAGGATTATATATAAATTAAGTTTTGTGTAAGTACATATAGTTTATTAGAAATTCTGCAAGTTTATAAACTGTAAATATTTTGCATATGAAAACTAAATTTAAAGCTATAGTTCCATAAAATAAGTCAAAGTTAGAGGACATCTGAATATTTTTAGAACAGTATTTTTTCAAAGGAATAAAAGTATACCACCTCTTGATTGTAATTCAGTATATACATTGAATTGCACTATTTTTTTCAGGGAAGCTCAGAGCATATGGCATGCATGTTCTAAATATACATGATGTATATGACTTATTTTTGTTTTCTAAATTTCATTCTCCTATCAGTGTTCTTCAGTATGTTTCCAAAATAACATTGTCTCAAAATCTTGACATGTTAAGGTAAATAAGATGTATTATGTCAGATAAAGGAAGAAGGATACTCAGTTGTTCACGATATACTTCACATTTTGAAAGCTATGCATACTCTGGTATATTTGCCTTCTACTTTACTTGCAGTTTATTAAAAAAGCTATTTTTATTAGAATATTTAAAGTTTCTGTATTTGAGTTGAATGTATGGGTGACATCTCTGAGCAGTGTGGAGTTCAGAAAATATAACAGTTTTTACTGTGTAAACACTACATGATAACCTATTGCATTTGGGAAAGTGTACTATAATGGAAAGGATCTATTTGCACTTCATTACATATATATACACCATTCGTCATATTTCTAGTTCAGTCAAATTTCAGTCTTTGAAGCGCTCTAACATAGCTCTGTGCAGGCTTGGATTTTTTCAAGTCAACAGATAAAATACTTGTTTTAACTCTATTTTTACATGGCAATATCAGGCAAACATAGGGGGGTGTGTTTAGTCCAATTCTTTCTGGAAAATACTACTCTGGAAAATACTTCTTCTGGAAAATACAAGTTGTTGAATGTAGGCATGCAAACTGAACAACGTTAACTGAAAACTTTTCGCCTTTCCACTTCCCTGTGTGATGTTGGCTGTCGTTCTGCCGCACAGGGCCTGCCCACGCAGGGTGGCCGCAGCACCTCCCGTCCCCCTGTGCAGCTGCAGCGGCAGCAGCTGGCCCCGTTAGCGGCTGTGGGTTCCCTGGTGTACCCGTCACAGCCACGAACAAACCTGGGGAAGCTTTTGAGGTGGTGGATGAGAGAGTTCCAGGTGCTGAGTGCCTTTTCCAGGAGGGGTAAAAAAGCAGGGCTGGGATGTGAGCACCAACAGCTATCAATGTCCAATAGAAAATATCCATCTTGGAATGTTATTGTAGTTTTTTTCCTTTCTGTATTACTTCCGCGAACCCAAGATGATAACCTAGTTCTTGTGCTGGGCTTCAGTTACTTATTTAGAAATAAGTTTATTTGTTAAATGCCGCCTTTATTTGCTTATGCCTTATCCACGCTAGTGTCACTGTTATGGGTATACCCTAGAAATTATTTGCGTACTACCTCCTTTTGATTTATTTTTAAACTCTGCCTTGAGTTCAGTTTATTGTCTCACAGTGAGCATTTTGTGTCATGATTGAGAGAACAGATTTTTTTATAACTGACCGGGAATCTCCACGTCTACTCCATACTGCTCCCCAAACCGTGTCAGCTGCCCTCGCTGGATACTGCAGGACTGCGCTGGGGCGGGGTGGTGTTTGTCAATCGAGTTTGGGGAGGGGGGGGAAGAGCTTAACAGCCGTCTGCCATGTCTGTGTGTGAAGGGGAAAAAAAAAAAAAATAAAGATGTCCGTTTTAAACCCTTTGCCGGATTGTTTTACCGGGGCGCCGTACCTGGTCGCCTCTCCGTGCCTGCCGCCGCCGATCGCTCCCTCCCGGGGTGCCCGCGGGCCCTGCCCCCCCTCAGCCCGCCGCGCGGGGCCGCTGCCCGCCCTCGCGGCGGCGCGGAGGCCTGTGGGTAAGCCCCGCCGCCAGGTGACAGCTCTCGGCCGCCGCCGGGGCCCGAGCGGGCCGGGCTGGGCCGGGCCGGCCGGAGGGGCGGGGGTCCGCCATCCCGGCGGCGCAGCGAGTCCCGCCGGCGGCCGGAAACATGGAGCGGGCGGCGGCTGGGCAGGCGGTGGAGGGCGGCGCTGCGAGCCGGCGAGCCGTGCGGGCGGGGGGCGCGGCGGCGGCGGGGACAGGGTCGCGGCAGGCCAGCACGGAGACGCTGGACAGGTGAGCGGAGCCGGCGGCGAAGGGCGCGGGCCGGGGCGGGGGGGAAGGGGAAGGGGAGGGCGCCGCTTCCCGCGCTCGGCGGGGCGCGCGCCGAGGCCTGCCCTCTCGCGGGGCCGCGGCGCGGAGCGGGGCAGCGCCTGCAGCTCCCCTCGGGGGGGGGCGTTTTGTGTAACCGCGCAGGGTAAAGACGCATTTTCCTCGGCGAGGGAGCTGGCCGTTGTCAAAGTTTCCTGCTCGCGGTTGTGCGTTTTCCGTCATTAACGTCATCGGGTTTGCGGAGGCTGAGGCTGCCTGCGAGATTTTGGCCCGGGCTTTTTTTTTGGCAGCGCGTAGCTTCTCATCGCCGCAAGCTCAAGTGAGACCGTTCTGAGATTTTAAGTCTTTATTCCCTATTTTTTTTTTTTTTTTAACATGCAAGCGCGTATTTGATCCGCAGAGGTGTAACTGTCCCGAAGCAGCGTTGCGCGCCCGCGTATCTGTGGACGTGTGCGCTGGCTTTGTGTCCGGGAGGCAGACGCTCGGCTGGCGGGATTGCCCGGGAGCTCGGCCCCGGGCGTTACCGCATCGACTTGAGCAGCCGCTGGCAGAGCCATTCCTGCCCTGTGGAAGTTTCCAGCTGGAGGCAGACTTTAGAGCCGAATTTAAAAATCTTTAAACAAAGAGTAGGAGCTAATGGAAATTTCAGGCATATGAAAAATAAAGAAAAAAGACCGTATTTAAAAATCGGTGTCAGGTTTCAGTCTTCATATTCTCTCTCTTTTCTGTTAGGAGAAACCTGGAGTTTTAAATGTTCTAGTGAAGGTGGAAATCAAATGTCCATTTTATATCACCAGAATCTTTGTGTTCCTTAATAATGCACTTTTTTATCATCGTATAAAGTTTCATCTTTTTTTTCCTAATCTTATTCTACCCTGGAGAAGTCACAATGTCCATTTGTCATATAATTTATTTGCCAGTACGGTTCTACCAGGCTACGCTGATGCGCGTGACCTCAGATGAGACAGCATGAAAAGACGTGTACTGGTATGTGTCCCACTTGACAGATGGTGATAAGTCACATCGGTGTGATCAGCATCCTGTGGTACACTGATATCTCCTGAGACACTGATCGTAGGGGATGGACCTGCATTCACATTGATTTTCCTGCTGCTGTTAAGATGTAGTGGTTCCTGGTGAAGATAAACCATTGAAAAAGAAATCCTTTTCTTAATTAACAAGTAAATTTTTATTTGGAATCAAATTCAGGAAAATCTGAAAGAGATGCACTAGAAACTAAGAGATGTGAGCGAAGGAGAAATAAATGAGATCAGAAAAGGATTACTGTAGGATCTAGCTCATGCACTCTTTTGCAAAACGTAAGGGAAAAGTGCCTTTAAGTGAATCTGGACTCGAGTTCAGCACTAACCTAAGAGTTATCTTTGTTCAAGCAGGAGTATCACAGATGTGTTTTAGTTGCAAAACAGCATTTTGTGATCTAGTACTGTGTAGAATGTTGCAGTTCGGGAGAAAGCTACTAAAATTTATCATAAAAGTTCTGAAAGCGCTTTCATTTCAAGTATGAAGTTGTTGCATGCATCTTCACCTTATATCTACCTATTTTAGCAGAGTTAATGTAAGAAGAGACCTCTAGTTAAGTAGTAATTGGTCATCTTATGCTATTATCCCGCCCTCTTAATGTCTTTTGGATGCTGGTTATGTGTATGTAGTTACTCACTTCATTGTCATGGGATACGGAAATCAAAGGTCATTTGTGAATGAATTGTAAAAATGAATTAAAATGTTCTTTCTGTATTTGACTTCTGAATAAGCATTAAATCTGTAGAAGAGCCCAACTAAACTGTTTGAAGAAATGGCAATTACCTAAGACATCAGCTGAGGTTGCCGTGGCTCTCAGGGAACAGTTCACTCTGGCATTCCCACTTTTTCATCAGATACTGGCATGTTTTAAAGCAGACCTAGAGCACTTCAGAGTGTCTGGCAACAAACTGTAATTGCTTCTCACTCTCAATACTGTTATCTGTGAGCAGTGCTAGTTCAGGTGACTGCTCTCAAAACGCATCATCTGGCATTTAGTGCAATTCTGCTGTTCAGCTGCTTTGTCTTTAGGGTTCCTATAAACACCCTATGCTACATAATTCCTTGCTGTGGCTCGGGAAGGCCTGTCCTGAAGATTATTCAGAGATTATTTTATGAATAGGAGAAAAATATGGCTAACTAGAAGTTACCCTTTAGAAAACCTGTATTTTATACATTTAATATTAAAATAGAATACAATACTAGCGTAGTTTAAATTTTTAAATACTAGCATAGAGTAATTTATTTTTGAGGATTCACTGAATAATCAGGAAATAAGAATACAGAAAGTGTAAGGAGTTTCTTATTATTTGACCCAATACGTTCCATGCATGGCTTTAAGAAAAAAATATGTGAATGATGAAAAAAATTACGCTGGATAAGGAAACCAACATTTTTATAAGTTCCTAGGACCCTAACCTAGCTTTTAACCTACTGGCAGCTCTACATCTCTGGTAAGATCTAGTAAAACTTAAGTTTTCCTTGGTTTGATCAGCAAAATAGTTGCATTCTGCCCATGAAGTAGGCTAATTTTTATGATGTTAGTGATCATTTATGGTCTTGTTTTCTGGATGTGCTCAGTTGCTGCGCTATTCTCCATATAAATTTTGAATTACTGCTAAATAATTTGAAATACTCTGTTTTTGTAGCCCGACTGGATCTCATGTGGAATGGTGTAAACAGCTGATAGCTGCAACCATTTCTAGTCAGATTTCAGGGTCTGTCCCATCAGAAGGTGTGTCCAGAGACTACAGGGTAAGTGATTTGAGGAATGCATTGATTTGTTTAAGATAAAAGAGTGAATGGTCAGGGAAGTCCTTGCTACCTTGATTATCAGGTGGTAAGTACTTAAGTGATTGCTGAATGTTTCAGAACTAGAAACATCTCATTATGCGTAGGAGTCTTTTGAATCTGCTTTGTGTTTTCCTCCATATTTAGATTAGTGGCATTGAAGTCTACAGAATAAAAATTGATAGAGAGGTGAAAGGAAAATTAAAAGTCAATGTTTTGAATAAAGTGCCAAAAGTGAGTTGTCTTTTCTTTTGATTACTACATTAAAAAAATTTTGGTAAAGTTGATTAATAGTTACAGGTTGAAATTGTTTCTAGTGTGTGTCATTCAGAGTACAGAATTGAGCTCTCCAGGTTTCACAAAAAATAAATGCATATGTCTTTGTTACCATGTAAAGAATATAAATGACTATAATTTTTCATGGGGTTTCACCAGAGGCAGAGAATTTAATGTCAAACAAAAAAATCACACTGTTCATTCCCTCTCTGTAACATTTTTGACACTAAGGTAATGATTGCGCAGTATGGTTTACCTGATAGGTTCCATTATGCCTTTTTACCCCTATTCTTTCATGCTCAATTGCCATTTCCTATATGCAGCCAGCCAACTGAACTATCAAGAGTGGAGCATATACAGTTTCCCTTCTCTTACAAATTGACGAAAGTCACCTGTGTTTCAAGTCCCTTTAAGAAACCAAGCTGCTGCTATCTAGATCCTTTTTTCTTCCTAGATTTGAAACAGTTTCATGGTCTTCATGCAAAATAGCCAAATGAAGATTTTACCTTTTTTTTTTTTGTTTTTAACTAGATTTTAAATTATTTTCTGATATACTTTGTGATTAAAAAGTTTGTTGTCCAGAAACAGAGTATTTAGATTCTGTGACAGCAGGTCGGATTCTACCCAAGCCTGAGGATGAATTAACAAAATGTTTTTGACCGTAGTCTACTTAAAAATTCACCTCACAGAGTTTCACACTATTGGCACAGTCAGCAGCTTATGCTCATAAAAAAGTATAGCTCTTCTGTACTATGGCAGCTGAATTGCAAATGCTTACTTCAGGTCAAGGCTAACATCTTTGATAAAACATTGTGGAAGCCTTGCAGGACAGCTGTCGATGTTGTATCTGCCTTGTAGATCAAGGACTTCATTTTAGTGAAATCCAAGTGCGTAAGCTTGGTGTTCAGTTTATTTCTGAGTTAGAATGCATTCCTCTGGAGTAAAGAGCACTTTTTAATTCTAAATAACCTCCTCTATACCAAACTCGGCTTGGATATTATTTAACAGGAGTAAGTCTAAAAGACTAATTAAAATTATACTTAATTCTCTGTTTCTTAGAAATGAAAGAAAAAAGATTAAGCCTGGTGGTATTCAGAAATTCGATGTATGAATTGTATTTGGCATCATTGCGTTGCTGTGATTTGAAATCCCATATATGTGTGTAACATAATGGAATTTTTTATCTTAGAGTATCTTCAGGACCAGTATCTTGTGAAGTGGTGTCTATGCTTTAGGAGAGGGTTTCCTTTTCATTTAGCTTCTGCAGGAACTTCCATGGTATGATTAGTTGCTTAGCCAGTGCCACTAACAGGATGGGTTTATTCATGATTACTATGGAATTCACATGTAAAAAGATAATACACATTTATAACTCGTTTTTCCTTTGAGACATCTTTCACTTTTGATGCATGCCAATCACTTTTCTGGATCTTCGTTACCTTTG